AAGAATCCACCTGCCAATGCAGGCGACACAGGTTTGATCCCTGGTTGGGGACAAGTCCACATGATTTGGAGCAACGAGGCCCATGAGCCACTACTACTCAGCCCCTGCTCTCGAGCTGGTGAGCCACAACGGCTGAGGCTACATACCGCAACTGTTGAAACCTGTGTGCCTGGAGCCTCTGCTCCACAACAGGAGAAGCCACCGAAATGACAAGTCCATGCACCGCAACAAACACTAGCCCCACTCACTGCCAACTAGATGAAGCCCTCACACAGCAACAAAGACTCATTGTGGCCAAAAATATAAAATAATTTTTTTTTAAAAGACACATACACCCCCATGTTCATTGCAGCACTATTTACAACAGCTAGGACATGGAAACAACCTGGATGTCCATGGAGGGATGAATGGATAAAGACAAGTGGTACATTTATACAATGTAACAGTACTCAGCCATAAAAAGTAACAAATTTGAGTCAAATGAAATAATGTTTAACCCAGAGCCTGTTCCACAGAGTGAAGTTAGAGATAGCATATATTAATGTATATATTTGGAATCTGGAAAAATGGTACTGATGTACCTACTGCAGGACCGGAATATAGACTCAGACGTAGAGAACGGACTTGTGGACACATGCTGAGGAGGAGACAGGGGACAAACTGACAGACTAGCAGTGACATTTACACTACCGTGGGTAAAACAGATGACTAGCAGGGAGCTCAGCTCTAAGTTCTGGGATGACCTAGAAGGGTGGAAGGTGGGGTGGGGTGGGGTGGGAGGCTTCAGAGGGAGGGGATACATGAATATATACGACTGACTGATTCAAGATGCTGTACCGCAGAAACTATCATCATACTGTGAAGCAACCATACTCCAATAAAATAGAGTAAAAATAAACCCAGGAAAACATGGTGGAGACTTCATCCCTGGGATTGACACAAATACACATGTGAGCAGAACGGCTCCTTAGCAGGAGCAACGTAACCCCTGCTCTCGTCAACGGTTAAGCCAAAGGTAACCTGGCTCCTCCCCTTTTCTAGTCCCTAAATAGCTACTGTTGTAGTTCCCCCTGGACACACCACCACCGTCACCTCACGGAAGGAAACAGCTCAAGGGAAGCTGTTACTTGATTTCGCTCCATCCTGCAGCCGGAACAAGAGCCCCAGTAAAGCCGTGCCTGAATCTCGTCAGGACTCTAGTCAACTTCTATTGCTTGGGGAAAGCCAAGAACCCTGGTCCGTATCTCCCTTGTGGTCTTTTCCCATCCTTGCCACACCTTTGCAAATCATCCCTTGATTAAAGGCTCCCCAAATGACCCGAATTTCAAAGCACCCTCTGCTTCCTGTTGCCGCCGAGCCTCCACAGCAGACCACCGACCGGAGTGAGTGGTACCTGGTAGAAGAGTGCCGCCTGGCTTTACCACGTCCCAGCCGTCAGACCCAGGGCAAGTCACTGCTCCGTGCCTCAGTGTTTATCTCAACATACTGGCAAGGCAGGACAAGCAGTCCACACGGGAGCTTGTGGTCTATTCTCAAGAAAAGGATAAGAGCATCTTGAGGCAGACGTCCAAAACTGGGGCAGAACCCAAAGTTAAAACAAAAGCAATGACAATTAATAAGGCTAGGGAAACAAAAAAGTGCAAAAAGAAAAATAAAAATAATCACAGTATTCTGTCTGACTCAATTGTGTATAGTGTTTACAATCATAGTAACTTAACAGTGAATACCGATCTATTCAAAATTCTTAAATGACTATGTTGGAAGGATGGTGGAGTCCCATACCAAGGCCACAGATGCGACCCTGGTCATCTCCAGAACTGACTGAGGCCATAGCAACCACTGCCATGAGCACCCAACTCATCTAAACCGGCCAGCTCCCTCATCCCACATTAGGTACAAATACCCACCCTAACCAATCACCTAATGTCACCCTTCCAGCAGGAATTCTCTTTGTCTTGAGACTATAACAATCGGCTACTAGCCCTGCATCGGCTCTCCCTGGTGGGTCAGGGGTCAGCCCTCTGAGCCTGCAGCGCCCTCATTTATCTCTGCTCTTTGTTCTTAATAAACTCCTTTCTGAAATACCGTGTCTAGAAATTCTTTTCTAACTCACACGCGACATGCATGTGTTGGGGTGGGGAATGGCAGTGCTGCTGGGAGAGCTAAATCCTTGCCTTCTAAAGTAGCAAGTCAATCGATAAAGCCTAAAGCTAAGAAAATAAGGAGCTAACTATGGTATTTATATGAAGGTAAAACACTTCGCTAATCAAATGGTTAGAGTTGAAAAGTAGTTGCCTCTGCGAAGAAGTGGAAGCCAAGTACTAACTACCATAATGAGCCATGGAGACCACCACAGCTCACAGGACTGGACTTTCCCGGATTCAGGACCCCTCTCCTCAATTCCCACCCCACAGCAGAGGACTGCCGTGCAGCAAAACTGTTTACAAATAAATCAGGGCCCATCTGTGTAGGAGCTTCTCAAACCTAGTGCTACTGGAACATTCAACAGGGCTATGTAATGGTTTCTGCTGGAGCCTGGGGGGAAGGTTAATAACAAAAGCTAACCTTCAGTTTCCACCTGTTGTGCCAGACACCTTGCTGGGCACTTATACTCAAACGCCGGCAGCAACCCCAGAGGGTGGGGTTTTTACATTAAGAAAACATGTCAGGGATTGGATCCAGGAACCCTGCATTGGGAGCACCGAGTCTTAGCCACTGGACCACCAGGGAAGTTCATATGCCCCAACTAAATATCCCGCATGCCGCAAAAAAGATCGAAGATCCTGCATGCTGCCACTAAGACCCAGTGCAGCCAAATAAAAAAATGTTTAAAGAAAAAGTCCAAAAAGTAAAATGTCCTTGGTCACATGACCAGAAAGCCACAGACTCAGGGCTGTGAGCACTGGGCTCCAGTCATTATCAAACTCACCTGGAGCCTGCAGCACAGGGCTGAACACAGAACCCGATAAATGCCAGCAGCTGTTACTACTGTTGGATCGTAAAGGCAAGAACACCTGGCAGAGATGAGGCTCTCAGATACTGAATAAGGCAGCTCCCCACACACCCAGCGCACACCCTGCGACTCACTAGCCTGGGGCTGTGCCGACCACTGGCACTTGAAACGAAGGGACAGCTGAAGTGCTGAGGTCAAAGGCCAGTGAGGCTACAAAGAGCAAGTCTGCCAGGCTAAGATCTAAACACCAGTGAGACAAGGCAAGCCTCTAACACTAGGAACACAGGCTGTTTGGCTCCTGTTTACCTAAAGAGTATTAAAATATCTGAGCATGCAAGTATGTGCAGGCCTATTCTGACTGGTTTTTCTTTTTTAATATACATATTTATTTATTTGGCTGTCCTGGGTCTTAGTTGCAGCAAGCAGGATCTAGTTCCCTGACCAAGGATCGAACTTTGGGCCCCCTTCATCGGGAGTACTGAGTTTTAACTATTGGACTGCTAAAGAAGTCCCAGAAGTCCCCAGCTGACCATTTCAAACATCAGAGACTTAGAAAAAAACTGAATTTCAGGCTTCTTGACAAGTCAGAGATTCTCCATGGAGCCCACCTCGCTAACATGTGGCCAAGCAGTGAATGAGCCCCTGAGACAGGGCACTATTTCACTTTACTGCAGGTCCATCCACACTGTGTCCCTCCTTGGCTGTACCTGTCTGGCCTCTGCCCCGGACTCCTGGTGTGGATGGAAGGATTCCAATTCGGTTATGAAGGAGGATCTGGAGCCCATTCAGCCCTATGACTGAGTTTTCCAGGAAGCCCTCATCCCAGCTGACCCCACACAAGTAGGTCCAAGTTCCGAGGTTCACCTGTTGAAAGCAAACACACCTGGGGGTAGCTTCTGGCTTTCCTGAACAGCCCTACACTGAAGAACCCCCCAGAGCGGGGCCGGCGGGTAGGGGGGACCACCCTCCACAAGGAGCTGCTCTCCAGTCTCACTGATCCATCCCACAGGCCCAAAGTTTCTGAAAAACAGGAATTACATTCCCAGCACATATCACGGGGCCCAGAATGAGCAGGCACTCGGTAAATTTATATCTAACACCTGAGAAGCCCAGGGCACTGTCGCTGCCTCAAGGTCCAGTTCAAACCTTTCATTTGCAAGCTTCCCTTCCAATGAATCCCGACTCTGCTGCGGGCTAAAGAGCATCAAGGAGTTGGGGGTGCAGGGGCGAAGTGGGTAACGAGCGGCTGCAAAGCTGACATGGACAGTCCCTTCATTTATAAGGGTGATGAGTCGGGACATTCCCGGTGGTCCAGTGGTGGAGAAAGGGGCGCAGGCGCCATCCCTGGTCGGGAACTAAGATCCCACATACTGCAGCGCATCTTAGCCCGGGCGCCCACTGCCCATGGTCCACAACCAGCGCAATGAGTAGCTCCTGCTTGGGCAACAAAAGAAAGCCCCCCCCACACACACACACACCAACCCCCTCTCCCCGCGGCAACTGAAGACCAGCACAGCCCAAAATTATTTTTTAAGAAAAGAAAAAACGGTGATGAGTCCTTGGAGGACGAAGCACTTTCAGAGCTGACCCCACCAGCCTTCAGGAGGGTGTGCCTGGCCGAGCCGGTCCCTTACCGTCCCGCGCTCCCTCATCCCTGGGCCGAGAGAAACACTGGGGTAAACAGCAAACGGGCTTAGACAGCACGCGGAGCATTCAGACACCCCGCCGCACGCCTGAGGGCTCCGGCTCCACCGAGGCCAGCGCACCGCCACCTCAGCCCTGGGACACAGGTGTCCCCTCAGTCGGGACACTGAGAAAAAGCAGCTCGCCCGGAGCCGGCGAGTGGGAGGAGAGCCGGGGCGCCAGCCGCTCGGCGGCCGCCCGGGCTGGGCTCCATCCACTCCGCCCCTCACCCAGCCCGGCCCATGGTCCCCTTCTGCTGTGGGACCTGGGGCAGCTGCCCGTCCGCGCAGTGGGGCGGGGACAGTAGCGCCAGGTCTCCAGCGGGCTCGCAGGCGACTGGCGGGAGCCTGCGGCTCGGACTGACCTGGCGCCTTCGCCCAGCTCCCCGTGCGTGTTGTAGTTCACCGTCATAACCTTCACCGAGTCCTTGAACACCACGTCCCCCTGACTGAGGTACTGCAGGGTGCGGCGGATCGGGAAGCGGCCCTTCATGGGCATGGCTGCAGCGGAGGGGTGGGGGGGGGCGGCCGGCCGGGCACGAGTCCAGCAGCGCGGAGAAGCGAGCACGGCCGACAGCTCCCCGGCTCCCCGCTGGCAGCCTCGCCTCAGCGCCGGCTTCCACTTCCCGCGCAGACTCACGGGAGAGGGAGGGTCGCTCCCGGCGGGCAGCACGCGCGCCGCGGAGCAGCTTGGGACTTGTAGTCCTGGCTGGCGGAGCTCTCCTCAGGTGGCGGTGGCGTGTGCGGGGAGACCGCGCCTCTGCCTACAGCCTTGGAACTCGTGGAACATTGAGGTTTTCATGCTCTGTGACTCGGTCCTTCTCCCCTCCGCCAAGGGAAAACATTGTATAGAGACTCAAACTCGGTCATTCGGACAACAAACTTAACAAGAGGAAGTAATTCGGGAGAGCTGAGTTTCAATACCAAGGCGCCCAACAACTTTCTGTTCAACCTCAAGCGTGTCAGTTTTCCTCGCTCAACTTCTACAGCTTTACGGTGAAGGGTTAGAACTGCGCAATGTCTAACACGGACTTTTAAAAAAAAAACTGATTTGCAAAAGGGGGAAAAAAAGGAATTGAGTATCTATCCCCTTCCTAGTTCCATCACTTGAGAGCTCTGGATCTCTATTTCTTAAAAGCAAAAGGTGGCTGAGAAGTACTCTTTCTGAAGTACTCTTATTGATCCGAATATGTCAGTTGTTCTTTACTTTTGAAGGACAGTTTTGCCAGATACAGAAATATAGGTTGGGAGTGGGGGGCAACTTTCAGCACTTTAAATGTTTCACTCCACTCTCCTGCATGGTTTCTGAATAGTAGGCAGCTTTCTTCCACTATAGGTTAAGAGTTTTTTCTTCTGGTTTCTTTCAAGAGTTTCTTTATGTCTTTCATTTACAGAGTTTGAGTAAGATACAACTAGGAGTATAGGTTCAGAGAAGGCAATGGCACCCCACTCCAGTACTCTTGCCTGGAAAATCCCATGGAAGGAGGAGCCTGGTAGGCTGCAGTCCATGGGGTCGCGAAGAGTCAGACATGACTGAGCGAATTCACTTTCACTTTTATGCATTGAGGAAATGGCAACCCACTCCAGTGTTCTTGCCTGGAGAATCCCAGGGATGGGGTCACACAGAGTTGGACACGACTGACGTGACTTAGCAGCAGCAGCAGCAGGAGTATAGGTTACGACAATCATCACCTTTGTCATCACCCACACAAGTAGAATTCAAATTTAGGTATATGGCGTGTGTGTGTGTGTGTAGACACATACATACACATATATACATATAACCTGCACACAGTATGTATTTCTAGCAAAATTAAATCTCTAAGGTACTTGTCAATCCAGTGAAGTGCACCGGAATAAAATTTCTAGGTAAAAAAAAAAGATACACCTAGATGTATATTTTTGGTATTTATCCTGCTTGATGTTCTTGGAGCTTTCCTGGACCTGCAGTTTGGTGACTGCTATTCATTTTGGAAAATTCTTGGCCATTATTACTTAAAATATTTTTATTCTCTCATTTTTTTTCTCCTTCTGGTATTCTGATTCTGTATGTTTTACCTCTTCTGAAATTGTCCCATCATTCTTGGATGTTCTGTGGGTTTTTTGTTGTTGGTGGTGTTTTCCATCCTTTTTCCCATTTGCATTTCAGTAGGGAAGTTCAGTAGGGAAATCTGCCAGTAAATTTGGAAAACATAGCAGTGGCCACAGGACTGGAAAAGGTCAGTTTTCATTTCAATCCCAAAGAAAGGCAATGCCAAAGAATGCTCAAACTATCATACAAGTGTGCTCATTTAACATACTAGCAAGGTAATGCTCAAAATCCTTCAAGCTAGACTTCAATAGTATGTGAACTGTTAAGTTCCAGATGTACAAGCTAGATTTAGAAAGGGCCAAGGAACCAGACATCAAATTGTCAACATCCCCTGGATCATAGAAAAAGCAAGGAAATTCCAAAAAAATTCTACTTCTGCTTCACTGACTATGTTAAAGCCTTTGACTGTGTAGATCATAACAAACATTAGAAAATTCTTAAGAGATGGGAGTACCAGACCACCTTACCTGTCTCCTGAGAAATCTGTATGCAGGATAAAAAACGGCAGTTAGAACTAGACATGGAAAAATAACGGACTGGTTCAAAACTGGGAAAGGAGTATGTTAAGGCTATATACAGTCAACTTGCTTGTTTAACTTATATGCAGAGTATGAATCACAAGTCAAGATTGCCGGGAGAAATACCAACAATCTCAGATATGCAGATGATACCATTTTAACGGTAGAAAGTGAAGAGTAACTAAAAAGTCTCCTGATGAGGATGAAAGAGGAGAGTGAAAAAGCTGGCTTAAAACTCAACATTCAAAAACTAAGATCATGGCATCTGGTCCCATCATTCTGTGGTAAATAGATGGGAAAAAGTGGAAACAGTGACAGATTTTATTTTCCTGGGCTCCAAAATCACTGAGGATGATGACTGCAGTCATGACATATAAAGACACTTGCTCCTTGGAAGAAAAGCTATGAAAAACTAATACAGTGTTTTAAAAAGCAGAGACATCACTTTGCTGACAAAGGTCCATATAGTCAAAGCTATGGTTTTTCCAGTTGTCATGTATGGAATGTGAGAGTTGTACCCTAAGAAGGCGTAGCACCAAAGAATTGATGCTTTTGAACTGTGGTGCTGGAGAAGACTCTTGAGAGTCCCTTGGACTGCAAGGAGATCCAACCAGTCAATCCTAAAGGAAAAGTGAAAGAGAAAGCCACTCAGTCATGTCTGACTCTGCGACCCCGTGGACTATACAGTCCATGGAATTCTCCAGGCCAGATTACTGGAGTGGGTAGCCTTTCCCTTCTCCAGATCTTCCCAACCAGAGATCGAACCCAGGACTCCTGCATTGCAAGAGGATTCTTTACCAGCTGAACCACAAGGGAAGCCCAAGAATACTGGAGTGGGTAGCCTATCCTTTCTCCAATAGAAATCAACCCTGACTTTTCATTGGAAGGACTGGATGCTTAAGCTAAAGCTCCAATACTTTGGCCACATGATGCAGAGAGCTGACTCACTGGAAAAGACCCTGATGCTGGGAGAGACTGAGGACAGGAGAAGGGGGCGACAGAGGATGAGACAGTTGGATGGCATCACCATCTCAGTGGACATGAGTTGGAGCAAGCTCCAAGAGATAGTGAAGGACAGAGAAGCATGGCAAGCTGCGGTCCATGGGCTCTCGGAGTCAGACACGACTTAGCAACTGAACAACAACAACAAAGGAAGTCTCTATGACCAACCTCCAGACTCACTGATTCTTTCCTTGGCTGTGTCCAATCAACTGATGTGCCTATCAGAAGCATTCTTTGTTAGTGTTTTTTATTTCTAGCATTTCCTTTCAATCTTAAGAGTTTCCTTATCTCTGTTTCCATTACTCATCTCGTCTTGCATATTACTTACTTTTACCACTAGACTCTTTACCATATTAATCACTTAACTTTCCTATCTGGTAACTCCAACATCTGTCTAATATCTGAATCTGGTTGTGATATATACTTGTCAGAGTGGGATTTTTTTTACCTGTTTTTAGCACACTTAAAATTTTTTGTTGAAAGTCAGACATTATTGGCTGTATTAGGTAATAGGAATTGAGGTAAATAAGCCTCTGTTACAAACGGTTATGTTCTCCTGGCTGGGACTTGAGCTGTTTAGTGTCTGCTATAGCTGAAGGTGCCCAGAGGCTTCAGCTCCTCTAGTGTCTGAGCTTCTGTCTCTTGTGACTTCAGGCTTCCCTGGAGTGTGCGTTTTGCACCTCATTCAGCTAGTCTGCTCTTATACTGGCGTTCTGTTGGTGTGGTGGTAAAGTGTGGGGGAAGGGAAGCATTCTACAATTTTATGGTGAAATCTCAGTATTTTAATGGGTTAGTGTCCTTGGGCAGTGACCTTTAAAAGTGTTTCTTAATCCACCTCTGTGATAAAAAAGAAATACATTTGGTCTTTGTTCCCAGCTCCTGGCCAGAGCTCCTAAAACCCTTGTAGGGTACTTTCCTGGTGGTCCAGTGCCTAGGACCCCACATTCCCAATGCAGGGGGCCTGGGTTCAATCCCCAGTCAGGAACTAGATTCCACATGCTGCAACTAAAGATCTGACATGCTGCAAAGAAGATCAAGGATCCCATGTGCTGCACCTAAGACCCAGCACAGCTAAATAGAAAATTTTAAAACAAAACAAACAGGTAATACTTAGTGCTTGCTGTAGGTCAGACAGAATGTCAAGTATTGGGTATGGGTACCTCATTTAATCCTCCAAAGAACTCCAGTTTACAGATCAAAGAGTGTGTGGTGAGGTTAAGCACGCTAAGGGTTACACCCCTGGGATTCCAGCCTAGGTCTGCATGACTCCAAACCCCAAGCTGCCCTGGCCTGCTTCGTGTACACTCAAGTTTCTAACATTAGGGAGGACATTTCATCCATAGGAAGCACCTCTTCTGAACTTTAAGGTCAAAAGCTCTTCTGCCTATAACTCTTCAGTAGCCTAGCATGGTTTTCAAAAAGACTTCAGGACTTCCAGCTTCAGCTCAGAAACATGAAGAGTTTGGTAGTTGTCACGCCTGTCCTTACATGAGAAAGCTGGGCAAACTGAAAGCCAGTGACTCTTCGGACCCCAGAGAACAGAGTCGGCAGGGCCCACTACCACCTAGAAATCTGGAGAGGTGAATGCAGAGTGACAGCCAAGATCTGCTTACCTGCAGCAGAAGTCACTGGAGCCAGAGCTGGAACACTAGATGAACTGCTGGAGGCTAAGTGTGGACTAGCATGGGAGTGGCAGCCTAAAGGACACCCCACACGCCCCTAAACATCACCTCCTCCTGGTTTAGTCCTGGGAGGTCTCAAAGGTCCAAGTGATGGCAGCATCAAAGGCCCACGCAGCAGCTTCCTCTCTTTTCCCGTTGCCCACTTCTGCTACCTTTGGGCACAACACCTGTGTAAGACAGTTCATGTAATCAACACTGCAGGAATCACTGAACATAAGGGCAGAACTAGAACCCGTATTCACCCCCTGGGAAGACTCCTGGTTTTGTCTGGAGGCCGTAACCACACAGGAACACAGGAGCTGGAGCTGTTTTCTTGTACTCAGAAGTCATTAAGAAAATGACCAGATGTTATCTGGTAATTCCTGGTGTGCACAAACACACAAACACACACCCAACCATGAATATCTTGTTATTTTATTTTTTAAAAAGGTTCCAATACAAGGCCCCAGAGTAGCACATGCAAATCAATGACCCTCCAACTGTCATTGTCGGGTGACCAGCACAATCTACTACCGAAGCCTGTGACCTATTAGAGACCAGCCTCTCACCTTGAGTCCCATCACCTATCTATGCCAACGTCCAGCCTACCACATGGCTCCTGGTGACTCAGGTACGTTTTAGTATCTGGACAAGAGAGACACACCGAGCAGCGAGTACAATGAGTAAGTGTCCTTAGTGTATTAGACAAGGGAAAGTACAATCAAGGCATAAAAAGGGAAAGTCAGCTTCATTTGATGCCCGAATCCCCAGTCTCTTCCACACATGATCTGTGTCTATGGACATCTGCCAACGACGGATCAAGGACTTGCTCATTTTCTGATGAGATGGGTGGAGCTGTCCGTGCTGATGGGATGTAGGATGGGTGAAACACTGACATGAGGGAAAAACTTGAAGCTGTGGTTGCAATTCATAGGCCACCTTTTCCATGATGCTCCCCCATCCCTATAAGTCCAACACTGTGCCATCTTGGGATCTATGAATTCCGGGAAATGGTACAATGGGGGGATAGAGAATTCTGACTCCAGTCATGCCTGTGATTTCAGGAGAATGCAGCCATGGAGGAATTCAATCACATCAGAGGGTTTTAGTTTGGGTTTAGTATATTCAGTGATTCTTATTTAAATTTAAAAATATGTTTTTTATAGGTCTGGTTCTCAGTGCTCTTAAGTTACTAACAGATTGCTACCTGCAGCTGATTTCAGGGAAAGGGTATGTTTGGTAAACTAGTTTTAACTGAAACCACCAGCTAACTAAAAGAGATATATTCTCATTAGAAAAATAACTATGAGGGCAAGCAGCACTTGGCTCCGGGAACTACCTGCTTTTTGGTGCAGAGAGCTTCCTTCTTCTCAGTCAGAGAGAAAGGACAGACTGATCAGCTAGGAGCATGCAGTCATCCCCAAGTCCCTCGAGAGTAACAGCATGAAGGGCACTGATCTTGAGGGGTAAGGACATCTGTACCAGGCAGCATTTGAGATGCCTGACTGCCAGCTTCCCCAAACCATGACAATCAGCAAGGCTGGTAACTGGCTGACCTTAGTAACCCACTCGCACTCCTCTGTGAATAGGACCCAAACTCAAGAGGTCCTGCATACACGCTGCGCACACCCACTCCGCACTGCCATGCTCCCATACAGGACCTCTTCATTCAGCCCAAAGAGCCAGCAGGGGCTAAAGAAATGTGAATAGTGTCAACACAAACAGAGATTACTATTACACCACAGTGTTTTTTCAGACATTCCCAAGATCAACAGGGGTCTTCCCAGAATGAGACAAAATAAATTTCAGCTCTTACACCAGTAACCAGGGACCGTAAGAGCCAGAGTTAGTTATGGGTATAAAGTGACTAGTGGTCAGTTATTGTTCATTAGTTAACAAGCGTAACTGCAGCAACTCTACCCAGAGCTGAGCACACTTGGGTATCTGATGTCAGATGTCAGTTAAGGGTCATGTCCCTGTAAACCTAAGCACCAAAGCAAAATTCACAATTTCCCTTTTTGCCCTTAACTGGTGAAGAGTTCAAGTACTGCAGTTCTACCAGAATGATCTTGGGTTGTGCCTCCTGTGAACATTTTACTTTTTTTTTTTTTGGCCATACCACACCCCTTGCAGGATCTTAATTCCCTGACCAGGGATTAAACCCATGCCCTCGGCAATGAAAGCTCGGAGTCCTAATCACTGGACCACCAAGGGATTCCCCATTTAATTTCTTAATACTACTAAACGTAGGTGAGAGAGTATCTCACCAGCGCCCACAGTCAGCACAAGATGACCCGCAAGACAAAAAGTCTCATCGACGAGCCTTAGAAGGTACTGTCATTGACCTTCTGACTCAGGGGACGTCAGCTTTTCTGACGAGGTTCCACGAGGGCTTCCTGACCACCAACTCCTAAATTATAGCCTGGGCCCTTTGAAAAAGCCCAGATCAGAGTAACTGTGCCAAAGCTCTTGAGGACACTTTCTCTGGGGACGACTATTGTCCCAGCCGTCATTCAGTTCCACAGAGCAACACCTGGACAGAGACTCTGCTCCCAAAGTATACGACTTCTATCAGCCAAAAAGTTAAAAACTGCTGTTCTCTAAAAAGCTCATGAACAGACTCACAGTGATAACCCTGCACTGGGAGATTAACTTCCTGAAAGAGAGAAATAAGAACTGAAAGGAAGAGGGCGAGAGACCCTGATGAAACCTCACCCCCATCACCCCTCTTAAGAGGGGCTTTCCTGGGTCTAAACTATTGCCTCCACAGTGAGACCTTCCCCTGCCATCGCACAGGACGTGCCCAGGAAGGCAGTGGAAGTGCCAGGTGAAAGGAACGTAGTCTGATGGGACGGACTTCCGCCAGAACCCAGACAGACATAAAGGGCTGTCTGCTGTGTCTTGGCTAAAGGAAGGGCCCTATAAAAGGCTGCAAACGGACCGACGCTAGGCAGGAGCGAGTGCAGGCACAAGCTGCACATGGGAGCCGATTCTGCCCAGGGCCTAAAAGAACTGCACTCGTGACACCTTGGCAGTGAAGGTTTCACGTCCCTTCTATGGGGAAAACCCAATTATTAAAAAAATTCAGGAAAAACAGCAATGCATGCTGATCCTTCCTGTTCTTGTTCCCATTTTATTATCCAGCTGTCACGGGAAAAGCTCCAAGCGCACAGCACCGAACAGCGGATTCCTCCCCCCTAACCTGCAGGCACCTTAGACGCCGCCTTCCTCCTCCATGCCCCCTGGCCCTCCCGCCTGCTCCGTGGGCCCCTGCCCGGCCTGGTCAGTCGCTGCCCCCCTTCTGCTTGGCCAGGGTGCGCTTCAGCTCCCTCAGGTTCTCCGTCAGCACCTCCACCTCGTCCAGGCGGCCGCACTGCTTGGCGTCAAAGATGTACGCCTTGATGTTGTCGATCTGCTGGAGCAGCAGCTCCTCCTCAATGGGCTCGGCGCCCTCCTGCCCGCCATCACTGTCCTCCTCGAAGGGGTTGGTGCAGGGGGCCTCCTCAAAGGGGTTGCCAGGAACAGGGGGGGATGCAGGTGTCCGAGGGGGGGGCTCATCTTCCTCGTCGAAGGGGTTGGGGGCGGGGCTGTCTGGCCTAGCGAAGGGATTCCCGGCCACGGCCTCCTCTTCCTCCTCTTCCTCGAAAGGGTTGTACTCTCGGAGCAGGCGGGCCGGTGGGCCAAGGGAAGGCTCCGGAGCAGGAGGGCTGGCTGTGCCCTCGGCTGAGGGGCTGGCGAGGTCTTCTTCCTCATCAAAGGGATTCAGGGAGGGTGCCTCACTGCGCTGTGACGGGGTGCTCTGGGGCAGGAACTCCTGGCCCAGGGCTGGGGACCCAGACCACCCTCGGAAGGGCTCGGGAGCCAAGCTGGGTGGAGAGGTCTTGGTGGCAGTGCTGCTCTGAGCTGGGGAAGAGCCCAGATCCAAAGCGTGAGCGAGGTGGGTGCGTGGCTCTCTGCCCGGCTCCAGCTGAAAAGGCCTGATTTCCCGGAAGTCCAGGGACCGAGTCCGCGTGTGCAGAGAGGCCGCCTGGCCCTGCTCGCGCTCCCACTCGCGCTCCCGCAGCACCTGCAGCTGCTCCCGCTGCAGGTCCTCCTCCTCGGCCTGCCTGCGGGACAGCTCGATGGCCTTCTCCGTCTGCTGCTGGTCGTACTCGTCCTGCAGCTGGCGCAGGTTCTCCTGCAGCATGAGCACTTCGTCCGTCCGGTCCGCGGCCTTGGCCTGCCGGATAAAGGACGTGATGTTGTGGATCTGCTGCAGGAGGGGGTCCGGGTCCTCGCTCTGCCTCTGGCCTTCTGACAGTGGGAGCCAGCCCTCGGCCTTTCTCAGTGGGGCAGGACCCCTCCGAGGGGGCACCACCTCCCCGTTGGTTGCACGCGATGCCAAGTCACTCCGCCTCTCCTCAAGCCTCCGCTGGGATTCCAAGGCAGCCTGGGAAGACACCAAAGCCAAAAAGAAACACGGTCACCAAGCCAACAGCCACACTGCCGGCCACCACTGCAGTCACACCATCCCCATTCCAGTGAGACCCCAATTCCCCACCTCAGGGCTATAATATCCCGCTGCTAAACTCAAACCATGCTTTTTCAAAATTAAAATAACAAACAACAGTAAGTTAAGGCGTAAGCTTCTCTCCATCTCACATTCACTGGCTAAGCACTTATCTTAAACCTCTGAGGTCTATTACCACTCATCTACACTGGAATCTCACACAATCTTATATACACATATTATTCTGTTTACTACTGCATATTCCAAGCATTCTAAGAACTCCCTGGTGTCTGGGTCGTCTGCAGCCTGTACTGGGGGTAGGACTGCCCGTCTCCATGGTATTCTAGACAGGAGAAAATCAGTAGAGCCTCTGAAAGAAAAAGACCTGGGGGAGGAAAATAATTATTTGATTTCTAAAATGCGAGAGGCCAGAACAGAAGGAAAACACAAACCAGAGCGAGTAAGAGGTTGTGACTTAACGACAACCTCACGGCACCTCCTGGGAGCCTGTGTGCTCATGGGAGCCGCTCGGAAGAAGCCAGATGCCAGCGTCCCTGAGTTTCACTCACCTGCCTCTCCAGGATCCTCTTCCGCTCTATCTCCTGCTTCCTTTTCTTTTTCAGTTCCTCAAACTGTTCTTTGGTCGGCAGTGACATCAAACCAAGCAACTTTTCCTGTAGGGAGTCACGGACAATTTTACACTTAAACTCTTTTCTCGGGAGAAAAAAAAAAAAAAGAATCTGAAGCTCCCTAATGAGAGCCCACTGAAGCTACGTCATGTTGGTCTCAGACAGCCACCCTAATGAGCAGAGCAGGGAAGGACCTAACCCTGAAATCGGGTCCGTGCCAGCTTCCTTCTGGAAGGGCCAGCCTTTTCATTAGGAGATGATCAGCACCAGACATCTTGGTTCCTTGCCGTGTCAGTGAGGCCTTTTCCTGCCCTCCCTGTCTATTAACACATCCGTAAGCCGCCATCTGAGCCCCACCCCCACACCCTCCTTTCAGTTCTCTGCAGCACTTTCCACCCTCTTAAGCCATATATTCTGTTCTTTCTCATCTATCCCCTCTATAATACAAGCTTTATGAGAACGGGAAGGTCTATCAGGACACCCAGCACCTAAAACACCGCCTGGGCTGCAGCGGGCACCCACCAACGACTGTGGAATACAGTCATCCATCAAAAGCAGGAAGGGCCTCACTCTGCATTATGGTGTCAGATAACTAACCCAACAGGACACGCAGATCTCCGTCAGGGCCCCACAGGGGACTGACTGTGACTCTCACGAGGGCTTTCTGAGGTAGAAACGACTCAGATGCAGTCTCCCAGGTGGAGTGAGTCCTTGAACAATCACTGTATCCTCCAGACCAATAGCCCAGGAAGAGTCCCCCAGGAGCTTATCCAAAGGAGGAAATGCTCCGTGCAAGCAAGTCCACCAGGCACTCCTCACAACAGCAGAGAAGTGGGAGCCTGAGAAATGCCCAGGGACAGGGGAACAGTTACACAAAGGGTGGTGCACACTCAGAGCAGGGATTTCTCCCAGATGTGGCTGACACCCCTGTGATCCTGAAGCCCGCCCGCCCTCTGGCGGCAGGAGTGCGGCGGCTGTACCTGCACAAACAGCGTGGCCGAGTATCTGATCATCCTCTGCAGCCGCAGGGTGTTCGGGTGTGGCGGCGGGTCCTGCTTCAGGTCTAAGGTTAAGATCTTCTTACTGCATGAGAACAGACACGTCGCTGGAAGAGGCACGGCCAGCCTCGGAAACACGGGTGGAGAATCCCGAGTCGCCAGGCTTGCATGCCGGCAAGCTGTGAGGAGAAATGGGCTCAAGGCTCCCCTGAGATGCCCTTGCGGGTGAAGCCCACTTCTTACCCGCTGGCTGCACCCAAGGCCCCAAACAAGCACGGGGCGAAGGACAAACACTCGGCCGCCGCGGGCCCAGGACCGCTGCCTCAGAGCAGCCCTGTGCTTGGTCCAACATTCTGCTCCCTGTCTGACACCTCTCCTTTTTCACATCTGTTTATGCATTTGGCTGCATCAGGCCCCAGTTCCTGCTGCGGGCTCTCGGGTGCGGCACACAGACATCTCTCCAGTTGTGGGGCGAGGGTTCAGTAGTTGCAGCACACGGGCTTAGCTGTCCCGCGGTCTGTGGAATCTCAGTTCCCCGATCAGGGACTGAACCCATTTCGGAAGGCAGGTTCCTAACCACTGGACCACCACGGAAGTCCCTTACAATTCTTAACTTTGATCAGGGGACCTACATTTTCATTTTGCATCTAACCCTGCAACCTATGTAGCTAGTCTTTCATGTACAGATGGACAAGGGTTCCGTATCTCTGTTCTCTGAGTCACAGTACTTCCTACACTGCAAAGGGCTGATCTAACCCCAAGAGCCAATCCACAGTTAAAAAGCAGTAGCTGGGATTTCCCTGGTGGTCCAGTGGTTAAACACTCGGCCACTTTCACTGCCGTAAGCCTGGTGCTGGTCCCTGGTTGGGGAACTAAAATCCCACAAGCCACACAGTACAGCCAAAAAAAAAAAAAAAGCAGTGGTCAAATTGAAGAAAGAACCTGGACTTCCATTCTGGTTCCAGCACTTTGGCTAGCTGTGGTGCATTCTTGTACCTATACAATGGGGGTGCTAACCTCTACGTCACAGGGTAACTGTGGTAGAATACAGGAGCCACTCTGTGTGGAAATAGCCGACACACAGCTGATACCAATCAGCTCCTGTTCCTGTAACAATCATGAACAGTAAAAATCCTCAGGCAACAGTTACTGAGACGCACTGAGGGCCGGAGCTGGCAGCCCCCTCAGCCTCCTCCTCACACACACCCCCGATCAGCAGGACCAGGTAAGCTAGGTCTGCTGGCCGCCCACCACCCCGTAAACCCAGCACATCCTCCACTTAAGGCAACAGGTACGAACATCACCTAACAGACCTTACCTTAACGCATCTATTAGCTCATACACTTTCTGCACTTCCACTCGAAGGTCACTAGCGTGTTCCAGACTGTAGGTTGTCTCTCCGGCACTAGGGAGAAATAAGGCAGATGTTTGGTCTAAGTTTCACTGCACTGAACGGAGACGGTGGTGTAAAAGGCTCTACAGGTTTAAGGCCTCACAGAGAGGGGAACTCCCCCTTGTGGCTCAGCTGGTAAAGAATCCGCCTGCAATGCAGGAGACCTGGGTTAGATCCCTGGGTTGGGAAGATGCCCTGGAGAAGGGAAAGGCTACCCACTCCAGTATTCTGGCCTGGAGAATTCCATGGACAGTATAGTCCATCGGTCACAAACAGTCAGACACGACTGAGCGACTTTCACTGTCACTTTAATATAATGCAATATTCGTTCCTTTTCAAATTGTGAGTGTTAATTAACTAGAAATCGCTTTTAATGTGCCAATGCCGTGGGAAAACTAGTGCCAAGGCCTATGGGGCCAGCTCCTAAGCTCACTGTCAAAATAAGTAGGACTGACCCTGCTTCAGCCTACTGACGCTTTCTCTGAACAACTTCTGTGCATCTAGGAAGAGGGATGAAATGGTTTATACATGAGCTGCTTACACTATACCAGAGGAGAAGGCACTTTTCTTTCCTCAAAGACTACCCAGAGAGCAGAGGAGAGGACATTAGGAAAGGCCAGTGGGGGCTTAACCTCAGTCTCAGAGGAACAACACAGTTATCATGTGGTCTTAGGATTTCATTTACGAGTCTGCCACTCCCACCAGGCGGCTTCCTTGGGGGCTCAGTGGTAAAGAATCTGCCTGCCAAGCAGGAGACCTGGATTTGATCCCTGGGGCGGGACGATCCCCTGGAAAAGGAAACGGCAACCCACTCCAGTATTCTTGCCTGGGAAATCCCATGGACAGAGGAGGCTGGTGGGTTATAGTCCATGGGGTGGAAAAGAGTCAGACATCACTTAGCAACCAAGAGCACACACACTCCCACCAGACTGCTGAAGTCCAAATGCAGTGACCAGGGTTTTCATTTTTATACCCCCAGTAACTAGCACATGGGATGAGCCTAAACAAGGTTTACTGAGAACAGAAACATTTCAGATGATCTCCCAGCTATCAATCCAGCCTTGGCTATAGCCACGAAACTCCCTTCCTGAGGCAGCAGCAAGTAAAGTGAAATAAAAGAACTGCCAGGTCCACCTGTTTTCCCTCTATCAGGTAATCCTGGCTGGGAAAATCCTGGCGTGTTCTGTAATCTACAGATTCAGTAAAGTTGCTTCATCATCTCTAACTGCACAGTTTGCAAAAAGAACATCAGACCAGAACTAAGAGGACCTGGACTTTGTCTCGATATCGCCAAGTCATGTGGAAGATAACAGGGCTGGCCTAAATCTGGAATCGCTGCCCTGGTCCCAGTCACATCAACCCACCGTGTTATCCTCGGGGCACCCACCAGGCCTGGCTTTGTTATCTTGTGTGTTATTGCCCACTTGTTATGGGCTGCGCTCCCGTGATAATGAAGCTGCCTTGGCTATGCGCTGCTGCAGCCCCAGCACTCAGAAGAGTGCCTGGCACCTAACGCGTGCTTGATAAACATCCCCTGCATGAATGAGGGACAGACTGAAATGCACTCACTCGAAGCCCTTCAGAACTGGTCTTGGGAGGAAGAGTTAAGACACCTGGAAACGGTCTCAGCGATGGCAGCTCCCCTCTGGGGAGAGGAGAGCCCACTGACCCACAATTGTGTCTAAGGCACAAAGCAAAAGAGCCAAGAGCACGCTGGGAGAGCAGGCCCTCGGGTGACAACGTCCTGAGGGACAGGCTGGGTGCCAGCATGATGCCAGGAACACAGCTGTCCTTGCTGGCGTCCAGGTAGAAGGCAGGCCTGCTCTGATTTCAAACCCACAGGCAGGGGCAGGAGGAGGGCGTGTTGAGTCCAGTGAGTTCGTTAGGAAAGGAGCAGGCGGCAGATGCTCCGAGTCGACCCCCCGCCCCATCCCGGGGAGGTTTACGCCTCTTCGCACCAACTCACAGGAGGGCAGAGTGACCCCGAGTCACGTGACTGCTCGGTGACCCGCAGGCGGAGAAGGGACTGGGGCCCTTCCCTGCTCTCCTTCAGGGCCAGCGGTCTCGGGCAAGGCGTGGAAAGAGGACTGGGACCCAGGGGGCGCAAATATACGGGGTAGTCAGGGACACTGGGGCTGAGAGGGCTCAAGAAACAGGGCTCCCCGCGCGTCCGCCGTCTGCTGCCAGGGGCTGTGGCGTCTAGTTGTGAGCATCGAGGGGAAAGGGGCAGGGCCTACACTTTCAGCTACTAAAGAACCGACCTAAAATGACAGAAAACAGTCACCACTGAGTCAATAAAACATAGAGGAAGAGCTTACTTTAATGATGCTGCCATCTTGATGTATTCAGGAGCTTTCTGGTCAACTTTCTCCATGCAAAGCCGTAATTTCTAAGAACAAAAAAGAAGAGGTGAGTTTTGTCTCAAGGTACAGAAAAGACAATACAAACGTTATGCAGAATCAATGGAGATGTATATAAAATGTGCAGTTTTCTAAATTAAAAAAAAAAGCAGAGAGTGGCTTTTAGTTTTGTTCTGTTCACTGTTATCAATTTCCTGATTTACAGACCTACTCTACAAGAAAATCTTGTAGGAAGGAAAGAAGGGTGAACTTTGACCAGATGTTTTGACAGGAGCAAGACCTTCCAGGACACAAGTCATGTGAGCTCACCAAGGTAGCGAGAAGAAATAGTTGCTATGGCCTTCATCTGCCAGGTGACGCCGGACGCCACTCAAGGCACAGCCAGGGCTCCCTTCAGAAAAGAAGGAAGCCGCGAGCTCGGCGGCTGTTTACAGAGACTGTCAGATCATGAGCGCCACACAACAGTGGACAACGGCAATGTCTGCAGCGCAGCAAGGTTTTAATTAACACCATTTCTAGCAGTCTGTTTTCACGGTGGTTCCAGAAACACAGCCACTGGGACCGGAAGAACTGCTAACAGTGACCATTCAGTGATGACCAGACAAAACGCTCTCCTCCCCTGTCCGGTTTTGCTCAAGCCGCTTCCTTCCGCTGCCAGGCTGCCTTCCTCCTCCCCGTTTCCTACCACCTCCCTGCCCAACACCCTCCTGGCTCATCCTCCTCAGCCTGCAGGCCTCCCCCGGGTTAGGAGGCAGTCAAGCTCATGCCCAGTGCGACTCTAAGCCGCAGGCTCTGACCACACTCTGCTCCTGTAACGCAGCACCTACTGAAGACCCTGCAGGGCCGCTGGCGGTAACCAGAGCTGAGGCACTTGAATGCACTCAAAAAAGGAAGCTCTACACTTCTGGGAAGTTTCTCAAACTCCCAAGTGAGTGTCCTAGGACCCTCTGGTCCACCATTCACCACCACCAGCTCCTGCTCCTGCTCTGACCACAGAACCTGTCTACACTGCATGGCAACCAGCCTTCCTCCTCTTGCCGGGCCACTGAAAGCGCCAACCTCCAACTCCCAAGTGGGCAGGGAGGGCAAGGAAACAAGTTTATTGCAACATACCCAGTGACCCTGTGACTCACTCAGGGCCCTAGCTAGTGCCCTCTGGCAGAAACTAAAAACGACTGAAAGGAACGATTTCACAAAGCATTCTTCAAAATCTGCAGGCGTGCACATGACAATCAGCCCGGCTTCTCAAATCAGACTCAAGCTGGCCCAGGAATCACCTCGTAGAGCTTCACAATGTCAGGCGTGTGCTCCTTCTCGTCGATCTGCTGCTCCCTCTTGAGAAGCGTGTCCTTGCAGTGTGTGCAGCAGCGGATCCGGTCGTCGTCCTTCTCGTCCAGGACAGAGCTCACGCTGCTCACGCTGCTGATGCTGCCCCGGCGGGAGCCGTGGACACTGTTGGGTGACTGGCTGGGGCTGGTGTGAGTGCTCATTGAGTCCTTGCTGGCACTGGTGAGCTTGTCTGTAAAGAACACAGGACAGGCAGCAGTAAACCCCAAAGCTTAGATCACCCCACTGCCCACAACAGCAGTGGAGTCCACAGGTGGGGGCCAGATGCTGCCTCTGGGCAAGAGGCACCCATACCTCTGCCTGCCGGGGCTCAGGCTCTGCAGCAGGCTGGATGCCCAGCGCCTCCAGGAGAGAGCCATGAGCCAAGGACAGGCTGTCCTTGAAGCTCTGAAGCTTACCCCAACCTGGCCTTACCAGCTCCCCTGCTCCAGCCGTCCAGACACACCCAGGCTCTCCCTGGACCGTCCCCCGCAGCCTTCCCCGATGCCCAAACCCCAACTGCTACCCCTGCCAGAGCTCAGCTCAAATGGCATATCCTCCAGGAAGCCTTCCCCAATTCCTTGAGGCAAACACCATTTGCCCGCCTATCAGCTCCCACCACGGCGCTCCTCCTGGGGCACTTCCCACTTGCTCCGTGTGATGACAGCTCTGCGCACAGCCCAGAGCTGCCCAAGCAGTTGTGATTCCAAGGGCACAAGCTGTCTTTCATAGCTGCATCCCTATGGGTTTCTTCCAATAGGGCTACCGCACAGCAGTAGACAGGGTAGACAGAGACAGGGAACTTACCAAGGTGACACGTGCCCACTGGACGTCAGAGCCCCACCCAGGAAACATCTGCCCTGTCCCACGTTACCCAGGCGCCGTGCAGCCGACAGCACGTGCAGAGTCAGCGGAACTCTGCAGGGTTGCAAACCAGCCCACACAGCCCAGAATCAGCCACAACGCCTTGAGATCATCTCCAGCAACGTTTCACCAGCTGAGATTCAAAGTCCTGGGCCACTGGGTTCCTCCTACCCTGGAGGAACGGATGATACTGATAGACCATACGTGGGCAAACGACGACTGGCAGGCCAAGTCTGGCCTGGTTTTGTATGGCCCTCAAGCTACCTGTGGTTTTTACACTTCAAAAAGGCTGTGTAATAAAGAAGAAATGTCACACAGACAGGATGTGAGCCACAAAGCCTAAAACACTCACTATCTGGTCTTTTATGGGAAAAGTTGGCCAACCTCTATTATAGACCATTGCTCCACTGGGCCCTAGCAAACTGCCGAGGCTGTAGTGAGCCTCAAGGAATCAACAGTAAATGAATGAAGGTCCCATGGGCCATACATTGAAACAAAAAGACCACAGTCTCCCACCAGGGGCTGGTCTTGGCAGGAGGTCAGGGGCCAGGCTGCCTCCACGTCACCTACTTGCCAAGGGAAGGCTGATAAGCTCCATGCACTTCTTGCACATGATTGACCCGCAGAGGCGGCAGTGGTGGCGGCGGTTACGAATGCTGAACTTATTCCCGCAGTCTGGACAGAAAGGGACATCCTGGTCGTTGACCCAGGGCACCACGGACTTTTCTATTGCTGTGGGAAGAAGAAGACAAAAACCAAACACACACGAAGGGAGCCCATTTAAAAAAAAAGAGATCGGGTCAGGATGAAAAATAAAGAACAGAAGGAACGTGAGCAAAGTTCGAGAGTTAGTTACCTCGGATCTTCGCAGACTCGGTATTTGTTCTGTCAAACGCAGTCAGCTGACAAGGAGAAAAAAGGGTCAGAAGGAATGAATCTGGTGGTGGATACACTGTCTACAGGCGGAGGCATCAAGTGGGAATGAGCACACAGGCATCACTCAAGTCTTATGTCGTCTCCAACCCCACGATGTCACAAAAACAACTTCACGGGGGACAGAGGACTAGCTTTCCACCCGGAAGGCACTCCCCTTCCCATGACCCATTCCAGTCTCTCAACTGCCGGCTGCCCACGGAAGCAATAACCAGGGGCAGGCAAGGACATGGTGGGATGGCTACCGAGGGCGAGAGGGAGCCCCCGATTCTCCACAGCCCTCCTGGACAATGAAAGCACCGAGGGCAAGGGGGAGCCCCCAATTCTCCACAGCCCTACTGGACAATGAAAGCGGACGCAACACCCCTGCCCCACGAAGCGCAGGCAGAGCGCTAAACCGTGGTGCTGCCATGTTGGCCTCTCTCACAACCCAGCTGATGCACAAGCATTCCCAGGGCTGATGGAAAAGACAGCGGTCATGGTGCTGAAGACTCGCTCCTAAACCAACCGCAGGACAAGAGGTTCCCACCCCGCATGCTGCTCCTGGTGGGTGCTCCTCCCGCGCCTGGCTCCCAGCCTGTCTGCCATCACACGGCATCACCCACTCCACCCCTTCGTGTGACGGTGCCTGGGACCCCCAAATGAGGAAAGGATCTGAAGGCAGAAGGGCTGCCAGGCAGTCAAGTGGGCTTCACAGGAAGGAAAAGGGAAGCTGGGTATGTGTCAGTCATCAACTCAGGCTGCTACCCTCTGTAAAACCAGCCCAGGCTAGAACCGAGAACCGCATCCTTAGCACCACTCTACGTAGGGTGTTTTCCTGCCAGCGTCAGACAAACACAATAGATTTAAGACAAGATTCGTGCTGCAGAAGTGTAATTTTTCCCTCCAAAGAATTTATACTTGCAGGAAAAAAACATGTTTTAAAACAAAAAAATTTACCTTCTCTAACCTGATTATTAATTTATTGACTTCAACGACATAGTGGTCGATTCTGGCAGCTCGGTGTTTTTTGAAGTCAGAAAGGTGGCTTCGCATAGCACCTAGAAGAAAGGGGGGAGGCAATATAAATGACTTGTCACTTCTCCGAGGGAGCCTCCCTACCTTGAATTTCAAAAGCAAGCCAAAATCTAGGATTTTAGAGTCTCAATAAAAATTTAAAAACTAGAAAATCAAACAGAAGGAAGTTTGCTAAAATGTTAACTATGGTCACCTTGGGGCCGCAAAGTACGTTAAGAAAGACCTCAAGGACAGAGCCTGGACTCTGGAACCAGCCTGTGCTCAATTCTGCCACACACTGTGTGACCTTGGACAAGTTCCTTAACGTCTCTTTAACTTGGAGTACTCAGCTATAAAATGAGGAAAACATCCGTAGTAACTGCACAGTGCTGTTATCCAGATTAAAGAAGTTAAATTTATAAAATCCTTAGAACACTGCCTGGCATGTGAACTTTTGTTAAACAAAAAGGAAATAACATTATGGGCTATTTTTCCTATACTTTTCAAAGTTGGTACAATACGGCTTTTTCATCAGGAGGAACACCACCTTTCTCTAAATAGCCCCCAACATGCAAATGGTAAGAGATGCCTTTGTGGGGCTAGCTCAACCAATAGCATCCTCAGTCCACAGCCAAGACCTAGGACAATCCTCATACAGATGGAACCAAGTAGCCTGTTGTCTCAGAGCATCTGAAGAGCTCCTGCTCAATCTCGCACTGCTTCTGAAAGCTGGCCCTGCCCCTAGGCCTCCCAGCACTCAATTCATTTCTTCCTCCCAATGACGGCTTGTTCATGTAGGTACTTTACTGTATCTAGATCTTTATACTAGATTCTTAACCATCCGTTATTCTCTTCTTCCTAGCCACACTTTAACATCTAATTAAAATTTAGCTTCAAATTTTTAGGAGTGTCGATAAGCATTAACTGAAAATTTGCCATTCATTTGACCTTTTGCAATTTGTGCCTTCCTTCAGTTGTTAAATCAGGGAAGTTAGTTGAAACATCACCTTGATAAATTTAACACTGGCAATCATGAAATAAGTTATCAAAAAACTAGTAAGAATTCATACACTTAAAATGTCTCCCTCATGTTTTTAATTGTCTTTCACATGTAACAAATAGTTACATGCATACAGTCTTATTTTTATTTTCTCCTGCCATGATGAAAAAACATTTCCACTCTCTAATATGTCAGCCACTGGCCACACATGGACTGAGCTCTTAAGATTTGGCTAGTGTGTGGCCATGGAACTGACTTTGACTTTTAAATCTTTTTTAACTTTAAATGGAATAAGCATCACTATCCTTTCTACCTCACATGGCTTTTATGAAAGATGAACAAGATAATGAGTATCAGAGTATAATAAAGCAGTACATGACTTCCCTAGCAATTGGTGGTTAAGACACCATGCATCCAATGCAGGGCTTGCGGCTTTGATCCCTGGTGGGGAAATTAAGATCCCACATGCCACATGGCTCAGCCAAAAAGCAAATGAAGTATAACAAAATACTACAAAAAAAAAAAAAATCATTATTTATCCATCACATGGATGGACAGCATTATATTAATGATCACTAATGTTCAACAGTTAAAGGACATGAAAGATAAGTTAGTTCAGCTCCATGTGGCATGATCTTTTTGGTAAAAGCTTCACTGAGTTATCATTCAAATACATACAATTCACCATTTGAAGCATACAAAATCACTGGGTTTTAGTTTACTGACAGGTTTGTGCAACCATCATCAAAATAAATTTTAGATTATTTCCATTACCCTTAAAAGATGATAATTTGGAAAGCAAGTAGATGATACCATAATTACACACTTCAGAAAATTAAGCTGCATGACCCAGTGCTTTTCAGTAGGCAGGTAATGTCTACATGAAAAGAGACAATGGACTATGTCTGGACTGACAATCAGAGACTCCTATTCCAGTTTTGCAGCGCCCCAGCTGTCTGACCCTGGGCAGGTCCCCATGAGGTTCGGTAACAATGAGAGTCAAAATAAATAAATAAATAAATGAGGGTCCATATGTAAGATTTATGTGGTGCCTAATGCCGTAATGCTTTGTGTTCGAATGCCCAGCCCATCCTTGTCAGTTATCTCCCGCCACTAGGACACAAAGGCCATGGGAAGCTTAAGACCATGCTGGTTTACTGGTGTCTCTCAGCAAACTCTGAAAACATACAGATACTCAATAATGAATGAATGAAAAGCATTTCTTACCAAGCTCCTGGGGTTCCCACATGTAAGGATCGACCCCTCCATAGCTGAAAGACTCATATCCGTGGGTGCCTGATTCAGCTCGATCATCTCCTTCCCGTTTCAACAGCCTGTTCTTTGCTTTCCTAGCCTTCTGGACAAGACCTTATAAAACGGAACAGACGCCATAAGAACCCATGAAGAATACCCAGTGGAGTGTCGAGGTGCTACAGAAGAGCACCCAGGTTCCACCTACCAACAGGGTCCCAGTGCATTTCGTGGATTCTCCTGTATCAGGGTTCCTTCATTCCCCGAGGACAGAAGCAGTATGAGGAAAGGAGGCAAACTTCTAGGACCAGTGTCCCGATCCCATTTACTGCTCCAATTCCATCCTCCAGCCCATGTCATTATAGGGATCTTGTTGCTTAAAAAAATCATTGATTTAAATCAATTATGAAGTTAAGGGGAGACTCAACGGCAGGCTGAGGAACATTAGCAAACCCTACCAGAAAATCGGTTCTGAGGTAAAGACTCTTGGATTCAAAGATCTGGACATGTACACTGTGAAAGATCTGTACATGCTGGACGTGTAGTACAGAGAGGAATTCCTGGGTCTCGGGTCCCGTAAGAAAGCTGCAGATTGTGATTTCAGCAGTACTGTTACGATTAACTCTAGTCTAAAATCTTAGGGCTGCAAAACAGACTTCAGATAAAATTCAAGAACTTCAAGGACGGTAACAGTTGGAGGCCAAGTAAGGACACTCGAGGAACCACGTGCTTCTGTGAGGACGAAAATGCCCAGTAAAGAGTTCGAAAGATGGAGAGGGAGAGCTAGCCAGCAGGAGTAAGGACACTATGCAGAGCATGGTCTACCCCCAGTAAGTCACTCCCTAGCCTTGGGTCTTGCCTCCCAGATTCCAGCAACACAGATAGAATCAGAGTCTTTATGAACACCAGAGTGGCTTCCAGATTTCAAGTTTCCCAAATAAGAGGCTGATCTTAAGAGGAACAGAGACAATCAGGGAAGTTAAATTCAACTGACAGCTCTTGTATCCCGAAAACGCTTTGTTAAAAAAAAAAAATGCATTTCAGACAAGGCACATGTCCTCAATTCAAGATGGACCAGGCAATGACTCCTTCCTGAAAGGTTTGTATGGCTTTGGGGCAGAAGGCGGCTACAAAGCAAGCCTAGAACCCACTGTGTAGCACAGAGAACTCTACTCAATGCTTTGTGGTGACCTAAACAGGAAGAAAATTCAAAAAGAGGGGGAGGGATGCCTATGTAGAGCTGATTCACTTTGCTGTTTGGTAGAAACTAACACAACATGGTAAAGCAACTGTACTGCAATAAAAATTAAAAACAAGAAGGAAAAACAGTCCCCAAAAGATCAAAAATAAATAAATAAAATAATCTAAAAAATAAAGTAAGCTTAGTGAAGGCACCAGGACCATGCGCTGTGTACAGTGTTCCTCTGATGTCAGATACTGGGAGTTAGGAGAGAAAACAGCCCGTAACCTGCCCTTGAAGCGATGGTGAGGCTACTTTTAAGAGGTTACGTTGGAGTCAGAACCAAAGCTTGAGCCAGCCAAACAAGGTCCCTCTTGCAGGCTTCCAGTGCGACCAACGCTACACGGGAGAATGAGAAACGCCCTTCCGAATGAAAGCAGGCCTTAGCGCTCGCGGCCTGGCCCCTTAGCTGGCATCTCTTTGAGAGTTCTTTCCAGTCCCGGGTTTTCCAAGCGTCCACAAGTCAAGTAAAGGAAGCAGGAGGTAGGAGCAAGGAACTGCACATGGAGACGTGGTTTCCAGTATCTGATCAGCCCAAAGTATTTCTTCAGCTCAGTACCACGTTTCTCCCTTTCATTAGTTGAGAAGAAAGCCCACGTCTTGACTTCTTACAAATGTTTTGTGATTATGAGCCAGATGAAAGGAGAGGGAACTAAAATCTAAGCGTCTGATTCATTCCGCCCGTCTTCCCTTCGCAGCCAAACCCAACAAGAAATTCAGTCTCTCAAAGGAGGCAGAAACAGAAAAGCAGAGAGAAACAGACAGACAGAAAAGAGGAACTAAATCTGATAACTTCCAGTCTCTCTCTAGCCAGTATTCAGGATCAATCCTCACTTCCTTTCAGTTGGAAACAAAAGGTCCTGTATCTATTATTTCATCAATAATTTTACACATTTTCCCTAACAGAAGCGCAGCCGTCCCAGCAATGTGAGGACACCACTCTCTAACCTCTCTAGCCACTAGCAGCAGTCTTAGCAGAATCCCAGTATCCGGCCCAGTTCAGCTGACACTAAGACACCAAGACACTGAAGACCACCACAGAGCCCCTCAGCTGTCCGAAGGCCACTGAGACAAGCAGTGCGTTTGTCTGCTAGTTTTCCAGCTGCAGTGTTTGCTGTGGTGGGAATACAGGGCCTCACCTCAGCTGGGATGCCACGGGCAAAGGGTGGCATTAGGTTCAGAGGTGATGGAAGACACGGGGTCAAGGCCTAGCTCTGTCAATCCCTACGTGACCTTGGAGAAGTCGCTGCACATCTCAGAGTCTTGCTTCTTCTCTGTAAGATGAGATCACCCACCTTCCTGCAGGGTTGTTGGGAGAGCTGATGAAATGACAATGTGTGTGAAAGAACATACATTTCCCTCTCTTTCTTTTCTCTCTTCTGTCTCCAAAGAGCTACGCCTCTGCTCCAGCCTCTGCAGCCAGAAGCCACCTCGGCCATCGCGGCCTTCAGGATTTTGAAAATGCCTAACTGTCATATTTTTTGCCAGGGGTTATAAATAGTAATGCTTTCAATTTCAACAACCTTTTTTTCTGAACTGAAAAGTGAGACGTGGAGTGAGATTATTTTGATTACAGGGGGCGTGTGACTGACAGGTGTGGAGGCCGAAGTCCACTGAGGAACACGCAGATCTCTCCTTTCTCTCCCACCCAACACAGAGCTGTGAATATGCCATCAGACCTTTTAAATTTCATTGCCTTCAGAAGCATGGCTGGCGGTTAACTGAATCACTAGGAAAGAGTTCCAGGGCACCAGCATCGTACTTAGGGGTTAGAGTCTGAAGTCTAGGAAATGAATACTCTGAACAGCAAAAATTACCTTCAAAAATTCTTTCTGCAACCCTTTAGGACGTGAGGGTCCTTGGAAGCTCACCAAGTTTCAGCTTTGTGGGTTTTCCTCCTCACATTTCAGCCATACCTTCCTTTTCCCGCGCTCCACAGGACAGGGCACAGTGAAGGAAGGATGGCAGGGAGGCCTGAAACCTGTGACAGGTAAACGGTGTGCAATGTGCCTCCGCTTACAGGACAAAGGAGAGGAATTCCACCCCAAAACCGTCTGGCACTGGCAGTGAGATAATTCAAACAGGCTAGGAAGAGACAGCAGAGAAGAGTAAGTACACTCACTAGGCTCGAAGCCAGGCTCTGCCTCACTGCGTAGCTTCACATTGTGCGTGAAGCCTCACTGTGCAGGCAAATTGTCTCTGTGTGCCTAGAACTCTCATCAGTAAGATGGGGCTCATTGACAACACAGTTATGGTGAGAATTCAATGAAATTAATGCAGGGGAATGTTTTTAATAATGCCTGCTACAAGGAAAACACTAGAAACCTGTTCTCTATTATTATCATTATTAATTTGCCATTATTTATCCTGTGATGGTGGTGTCAACTACAAATTGGCTCTTACCAAGAGCACTGCCAACAACTGAGCAACAAAGGCATTTGCCGTTTGCCTCTAGGAGACTGACCCCACACTGCTCCAGCTGCTGACCTTCAACACTCCCTGAGGGAGTTCAGGGTCGGTGAGGTACTCTGTGCTCTAGGGGATCTGGTGGCACAGGTCATTAGATAGTTGGATGTTTTTAGGAACAGGTTTTATTAGCTCAATCCTTGCATCTCCTCATATCTACAGAAGCTCTAAATCCCTTCATGGTGACATCAGACCCTCATGACTAACAAAAAACCTTTTGTAAATTGAGTGCTTCATGGTACTGACTTCCCCCTTCACCAAAACCTTATATATTGACCTTCCCCACTCCCGCTGTGGAGCAGTCTCTCAGAGCTGTCTGAGATGCTGCCTCCTGGCCGCAGTCCTCATTTTGCCCCAAATAAAACTTAACTCACAACTCTCAAGTTGTACATCTTTTTTTAGTTGACAGTGGCAACCATAGGAGCTGATAAAAACCATCCCACAAGTTAAAGCTCCCAGTGACAGAACAGGATAAGCAGGAAATCCTAGCCTCTTACTTTTAATTTGCCCTTTGACATCACGGTCTTCCCCGGAGTGCTCTTCCTCATAATGCGAGTGCAGCTGATAGAAAGACTGCAGGTCCTTCAGGCACAAAGGGCAGAGGAAGCCCTCTCTCACTTCTCCTGGGTCATCCAGAGACGCCATGGGGTGTCTCTCTCAACCCCCACAACGCAGGGCCCTCATGCCAAGAGTCAGCTGGATTCCTCCACAAGAGACAAGGGATCCCGCAGCATTAGCTTAGACAAGGGATCAAGCAACACCCAGATGATGGGGAAGTGGCATCATAGTCCTGGATGAGGTGTCCTCTCTGGAGTAGAAGTCCTAAGAAAGGAAAAAAGAAAGGGAGGGGGGAGCAAATTCAGGCAAATTAGCAGCAACTGAGAACTTTCCTTGTTCTTTTCACAATTCAAGATGGGTACTTAATGTTTTCCAGTGCAAGTCTGAGAATACAAACTGCTTTCTCAAATCCTTAGGTGGAAACCTAAACTTTCTAAGATGAGAGACCATCACTGGGCAACAGCAACTCAATGAAGGGGGAAGCACAGACTCCTGCAGATAAGAAAGAAAACTACAACATCAAAAGTGTCAATTCTCTAACATTTACTCCAACTTCATAATGTGTATACCATGTCTGAAGTAGTTCTCAACAAGTGCAAGTTTTTACTTGACTCTCTCTCCCTTGACCATTTTATTCAACTACATATATGGAGTTTTTGCATCTGTGTCAGAAATGCACTGATGTAAAAGGGATAGCATCTATCCCAGAAACCAAACAGAAATTCCAACTTCAGTCTAAGGAACAGCATTAGAAACTTGAGCGATCAAAAAGAAAAATCTACTTTGATAGCCTCGAACTGAAAATAACACAAATACTTACCAAAAGAAGAAAAATATATTTCGTGCCTTATGTTTGTACAATACTTGTTCTCCAATAAACATACTAGACTTTATAAACCAGCAAGCCTAACGTTCTCCCTGCCTCAAAAATAAAAGAACCCGGTGCTTAAACAATTCAGAGTTTAATAAGTTACATTTTCAGTTTTATCCAGCCTGGACAAAGTCACTTTCAATGTCAACTTGGAAAGACTCCCAGCCATAGGGAAAACGTAGGTAAAACAATCCCAACAAAGCAGAGAAATTTCTCAAGAATCTGAGGCCACAAACGAGGGTGGAGAGTGAGGAGGAACGTATGAACCTCAGCTTTGAGCTGCGGATGGACCCAATTACAGGGCCACTGAAGAGGGACTGCCCAGTCATCAAAGGGAAACGGGTCGGTGACCCAGGAAATAAACAAATGCAACACGAGGTTCCTGTTTTCTTCCTCCAGTGAAAAAGCCCGATGATTACACACACTCACTTCTCAGCCCCTTTTCCAGACAGCCGCTGAAAGAACAAGCAGTTCCTAGCCAGAGGCTCACGTGAGCCTCTTCTCTTCCCACTCACGCAACCAGCCGCAAATCCAAAACACTCCCGAAGAAATCTGAAGGCACCCTCAGGGCCTCGGAAAAGCGCTGCTCACGGTGTTCTCCTGTCCCGTAGCCCTGCACCTCTCGTCACAGCACTAACCTCAATTTGTAATCACAGGTACACAAAGCGACTAATAGCCACAGCCTGTGAGCTGTGTGAGGGCAGAGGCCACGTCCACGTTCTTACCACCACACCCGCTGGGTCAGTACCCGGCACGAAACTCCGACGATCCCAATAACGCCCCGGGAGGGAATGAATGAATGAACGAAATCTAAGATCACATAACCAAACACCCACCACAAACCACATAGCTGGGCCCCACGTCCACAACACAAGCGAGCCCCTCATACCCGAAATCCTGTCCGAAATCCAAATAAGGCCCACGGTGCCCGCAGCTCCTCGTCCAGCGCGAGAGCCGCCGGCCGCTCTCTGCCCCCTGGGACCACGCAGGCCCCGCCGCAGAACCCAAGACCGCTAAGGCGCCCCCGCGCAGCCACGGCCGGAGTAAAAGCACCGCGGACACTCGGGCGGGACGCGCGGCAGGACAGGCCCGGCGCCCACCACGCAAGTCACACCCACCACAACACAGGGCCACCAACCGCCTGTCTGCTCGCCGAAGCGGTACGGCGCCCCGACCCGGAGACTCGCCTGGCCCTCTCTGCGGGCGCGCAGGCCTGTCCAGTCCTCAGAAGCGGGCTCTGGGCCTCCACGAGCCTTCACTCGGGCGCGGCCGCCATCTCCATCAACAGCTCGGCGCTCGGCAGGCACGCCTGCGGCGGCACCGAAACCAAAACACCGGAGGAGAAAAGACCTAGGAGCGCCGAGTCGTCGAGAGGCCGGAAAAAAATTCCCCAAAACGGCGCAGCGGCGGCCTCTGCGCAGGCGCCGGAACGAGTGGCCGGGTGACGCTCCTTGATTTTACGTTTTTCCCAGCCCCGGAAGTTGGGGTTGTGGTTCAACGGCTAAGTAGTGTCTGACGCCTTGCGACCCCACGGACTGCAGCACGCCAGGCTTCCCTATCGTCTCTCTCGGAGTTTGCTCAAACTCATGTCCACCGAGTGGTGATGCCATCCAACCCGCTCATCCCCCTCTCCTCCCACCTTCAGTCTTTCCCAGCATCAGGGTCTTTTCAGTGAGTCAGCTCTTCGCATCACGTAGCCAAGTCAAGAGTCTCCTCCAGGATCACAATTGGAAAACGTCAATTGCTTGGCACTCAGCCTTCTTTACGGACCAACTTTACGTAACTACTGGAAGTTCAGGGGCGGGGGGGGGGGGGGGNGGGGGGGGGGGGGGGGGGGGGGGGGGGGGGGGGGGGGGCAGTAGGTGAAGTTAAACCCCACCCCTTGCTTTCCACTCCATTGCACAGATTGGAAAACTGAACCTTGTAGCCCTTTAGGCTTTGGCCAAGGTGCGCGGTATATGAGGCATCCAGGGGTCTTTAATGCCTCCTGCAGACCAACAACTGCAGTTCTATTAATAAATTAATTAGAAACAAAAGTTCTGGGGCTTCCCAGGTGATTCAATGGTAAAGAATCCGCCAGGCAATGCAGGAGATGTGGGTTCAATCCCTGGGTTGGGAAGATCCCCTGGAGGAGGAAATGGCAACCCACTCCAGTATGCTTGCCTGGGGAATCCCACGGACAGAGGAGCCTGGTGGGCTACAATCAGTGGGGTCCCAAAGAGTCACACGCAACTGAGCACATATACCTAGTACATAAAGTTCCTGAGATCTAGAGAGAAAAGGCGTATTTGAGAAACGTGCCGTATGTGGAACCGTCTGGAATATTACTGCATGAGCTTAAGCTTGAAATGAGACAGAGGATCCAACCCAAGCACATATAGTGTGGTCAGGAAAATCTGTGAATCTTCAAATGCAAAACAAGGTGACAGTGAGACATCACCTTGTAACTGAGTGGCTGTATCACAGAGAAATGTGTTGGTGAAGATGGGAACTGGGAATGATGCAGCCACTGTGGAAAACAGTACGGAGTGCCTCAAAAAATTAAAAACAGAGCTGCAATAGGGTTCACTAATTGTGCTTCTAGGTTTTATCTGAAGAAAAGACTAACTGAAAAAGGTATCTGCATCCCCTTAGCTATTGCAGCATCTCTTACAAGAGGCAAGATATGGTAACGACCTAGAGTATCCAGGAATGGATGAATGGATTAAAATAAAGTGGGGGGTGCTCATTATATTCACCGTGGGCCTTGGTGACCCTGAATGCTTTGACATCCCTAAATCTGGGGAGCCTTGGATCCCAAGGCTGTACTACAGTGGGGCTGAGGGGGGTAAGACAGGATAGCCTGGCAAATGACCCCATTTGGGCCAATACCTCATCCACGCTGGTGAAGACCAAACTCTCCTGACCCAGGCAGGCGCTGCATCAGTATAACCAGACCTACTGCACCCAAATGATGGTGGACATGAAAGATGCAAGAGCTTCGAAAAGTCAACTGGTCTCCACATATCCTAGTGGTAGGGTAGCCTTAGTGGTTGGACTGCAAGGAGATCCAACCAGTCCATCCTAAAGGAGATCAGTCCTGACTGTTCATTGGAAGGACTGATATTGAAGCTGAAACTCCAAAACTTTGGCCACCTGATGCGAAGAGCTGACTCATCTGAAAAGACCCTGATGCTGGGAAAGATTGAAGGCAGGAGGAGAAGGGGATGATAGAGGATGAGATGGTTGGATGGCATCATTAACTCAATGGACATGGGTTTGGGTAAACTCTGGGAGTTGATGACGGACAGGGAGGCCTGGCATGCTGCAGTCTATCGGGTCTCGAAGAGTCGGACACGACTGGCAACTGAACTGAACTGAGGGTAGCCTTCTTCCTCATAGTCACACCACTGACGAACCACAGGACACTCACCATAGAGGTTTATGCAAGGGTGGACATTTGCCCTAGGTGGGGGGGGGAAGGGGTGAAGCTTAAGGGGGAAGAAGTAATAAGACACAAACCCTTGACTGTTTGCTCTGGTACATTCCACTCTAATTCACAGGCCAGGACAAAGACATTCATCAAAGTTCTGATCGAAGAACAAACCAGAGTCGTACAAGAAGAACTGCTGCCACCTCGTGGCTAGTTCCAGTAAAAACAATATAAAGCCTGTGGTTTGTTTTTGTTCTTAGTCTCTAAGTTATATCCAAACCCTTTGTGACCCCATGGACCATAGCCCGCCAGGCTCCTCTTTCCATGGGATTTCCCAGGCAAGAATACTGCAGTGGGTTGCCATCTCCTCCTAGAGGAACTTCCTGACCCAGGGATTGAATACACGACTCCAGCACTGGTGGGCAAATTGTTTCCCACTGAGCAACCTGAGAATGCAACAAGTGCTTGGGGCTGTTAATATTAACAAGTCATAAGGGATATTAATGAAACCTGTTCACAAAAATTAGCCTTGGGGAAAGTAATTGAAAAAGAATTCAAAAAAGCTTTCAAGAAATGAATTAAAGGAGGTAAATATTACAATGTTTAAAAAAAAAGGATAAGACTGGATGCTCAACATCACTAATTACGAGAGAGAGGCAAATCAAACTATATCAAGAAATAACTTCCAAGAAGTCACAACGGTCATCATCAACTTGTTACATTCAGTAAATGTGTAGGGGCAAGGAAAAAATGAACTCTCCTTCTTTTTGGGAATATGAATGGATAAGACTTAGAATGGTATGAATGTTCTCCCTCAAAAAAAAAAATTTCAATGAGGGACACTTCCTGATAGTCCAAAGCTAAGACTCCATGCTCCCAATGCAGGTGGTCCAGGTTCGATCGATCCCTGGTCAGGGAAATAGATGCCACAACTAGGCAACTAAGAGTCTGCATTCAGTAAATAAAGATCCTGGGTACTGCAACTAAGACCCAGGTCAGCCAAACAAGTAAATAAATATGTATTTTTACAAAATACCACAAAAAGTTGAGCCGGTGATTAAACTCCTGGACATACATGCAAAAAAAACACCTGATATTCGAAAGGAAACATACAAACAATGTTCACTGCATCATCATTTATGATATGATAGCCAAGAAGTGGAATCAATGGAAATGCCCAGAGAGAGATGGATGTGTCAAGATGTGGTACTTATATATAATGAACTATGACTCAGACAAAAAAAATGAATGAAAAACTGCCTTTTGCAACAACATGGATGGACCCAGAGTTGGTCATACTAGGTGAAGGGTGTCAGACATAGAACAAAAAGTGGCCTATGATTTCATGAGATGGTATCAACAAATTTAATACAAACACAGCCATTTACAAGGCAGAAACCTATTCCAGGAATCAGACAATAAACTGATGCTTAACGAAGCAAAAAGCTAAGCGGAGAGATATATTAGGAGTACAGGAGTAATATATCAATTCTAATACATATAAATACTCAAGGAGAACCTAATCAACAAGGGAACACTATTCAAAATAATCTAAAAACCAACAATTAAAAAATATAAAAGAATACTTCTATATAAATGTATAATAGAAACAGGATATTAAACACTCAAAGAAACACAACATACGAAATCAACTTTATTCCAATATAAAAAGAACACCTGAAATTGAAAGAAGAAGAAAAAAAAAGATAATGCCAAGGCTCTGTACCTGAAGTCTTGGTGACCGGGGCTTGTGTCACATCCCCGGAGCCTGAGCAGCCTGGGGCCCCCGAGGCTGAACTCTGGGCCAGCTGAGAGAGCTGGGGAGGACGTGTCTCTCCCCTGAGACCTGGAGTGTGGACGGGACCATGATCTCACGATCCAGGTGCACCCTCCGCACCCAAAGACTGGGGCACCCTCTGGGCGGGAAGAGCTTTGAAAAGTCACCTGGTGTGCAACTCTCACGCTGGTGGAATTACCCACTGCAGCCTCCTTGCATGGAGTCCTCACCCCACGTAGGAAACACAGCGTCCTCAGCGGAGCGGTCTGCCAGGGCTTGGTATCTGTCAGGGATGGGAAACGTCCCAGGAAACAGTAAGAAACACAAGCCCTCGGCTGTTTCTTCTCGCCCCGTCCAGCCTCCTCTCCCACTCAGGAAAGGCTCTCTTAAGGCTCTGCTTGCTGCCCAGTTCAGTTCAGTTGCTCAGTCGTGTCCGACTCTTTGCGACCCCATGAATCGCAGCACGCCAGGCCTCCCTTTTCCATCACCAACTCCTGGAGTCTACTCAGACTCATGTCCATCGAGTCGGTGATGCCATCCAGCCATCTCATCCTCTCTCGTCCCCTTCTCCTCCTGCCCCCAATCCCTCCCAGCATCAGGGTCTTTTCCAGTGAGTCAACTCTTCGCATATCATATGAGGTACACACTAATCACAGTCGGGTGCACTAGTATCCATATTTTTGCTGTTTCTGTGTCAGTTCGTGTTTTTATCATAATGATACTAACTCCTTTCCGTGTGGTCTCCTTTCTGTTGGTCGTGGGCTGGAAGATCTATGCAAGAACTCTTTGTACAGCATCACAGCTGCTTTGAGCAACTCACCCCTTTGGTCTGTGGCAAATGGGCTACTGATGAGAAAAATGATCTCAGGTTATTTCTACTTGGTTTTAATTTTGTGCTCGGAGGATGGTTTTGCCTGGTAGGAGGTGCCTAAGCCGAATATCCATCTTTCTGAAAAGACACTGTCCGATAGGTTAGCCACTCACCACATCTGACTATTGAAATTTGAATTAGGT